GGGCCCTTAAATATCTCGGGTCACATTACCGCTAAAATTTCTCCAGTCTGGCGGACCCAATGTCCGTCAAATAACCTTTGATTTTCTTTTAAAAGCACATTTAGCACATTTGATTATATTCTGTTATATTCTATTCTATTTAGGGGCCAAGCACCGAAGGTGCGGAGGCACCTATTGTATCTGTTCCGGTTCTTATTATTATTATTATTATTATTATTATTATTCTTCCGACTGGGCGTCTATGGCAGCCCATAGACCGGTTTGCGGGAAAGTTGTTTTGGTTTGACATTCTGATAGAGGACAGTCCCAACTTTAAATACACCAATTTTGGTGTCTCTAACTCATTCCCTCTAGCGCCACCAACTGTCCAAATTTGCACTTTTATTATGCTAATAACTTTTGAACCGTAAGGCCTATCAACAAAATTCTTTTTTCTTCTTGTTCCTGAGCTCATGGCGATTCGATCGCACCCTATGACGTCATTTTCCGTCATAAAACAATGGCCGCCATTTTGAATTTTCTAAAAAACCTACTTTTGCGAACTCGTCCTAGACGGTTTGTCCGATTTTCACCAAAATCGCACAGGATCATCTCCAGGCAGTGCTGACAAAAAGTTATGGAATTCAAGATGATTCGAATAACCGTTTTCGATAAGCGCGCAAACTAATTTTACGTAGCGCTTGCAAAAACAGACGTGAGGTTGTATCTCCGCAACGCTTCATCCTATTCAGACCAAACTTGGTACATGTCATCACAAGCATGACCTGAGGCTACATGCAGCGTTTCGGCGCAGCGCCACCTAGTGGTCCGGAGATATGAAAAATGGCTATTTTTGCTCGTAACTTCTGAACGGTTTGTCCAAAAATCATAAACTTCATCTCGTTAGATTCAGGGCATCATGCCGAGTCGACTGATATCCAATTTTCCCAGATCGGCCATTTTGGCTGTCGGCCATTTTGAATTATGTGCTAAAATGCTGTATTTTTTGAACGCATGAACGAATTGTTACGAAACTCGGTATGGGTCATCAGTACGATGCCCTGAAGAAGCCTGAGAAGTTTCGAAACAGCGCCACCTAGTGGTGAATTTTTTTTTTCAAACGCATATAACTTTGGGTGTGGTACACTTATTTTCACGGGAGTCATATTTTTGAGGTCCTGAATCGTTGCCGAGTCCAACGATACCAAATATGTCGGGTTTCGTTTCACGGATGGCGTAGCGTAGCGATTTAGCGCGAAAAAAACACTTGGCGATATCTTCAAAACCGCTGTTCCGATCGAGACGAAACCACCGCCAGAAACACGGAATCATAGCTTGTTAACTATATGCTAATGCCTAAATGCGAAAATATTGATAGTAAGGGGTAGTAAAATTCAAACAAAGTCATGTGTCAGTCATTTTTTACGTGTTTTTTCATATAAATGTTTATAACTCGGAAGCAAATTGAGATATTTTCACCAAAATTGACACACATATGTATGGGGTCACTCTGAGGACACATAAAAAAAATTGTGGGACTGAGCCTCTTGGTGGCGCTATAATAGAACAAAACGTGAAATTCCCATTGACTTCAATAGAGTTTTGTGAAATAAAATGCTATACTAAACAAATGCATTAGTGTAATATTACAAAACTCAGTGTGTGCCATAAGCAGCATGCCCTGAAGGTACTCAAAAGATTTTGAGACAGCGCCACCTGTTGGTCAAAAGTTATAATTAATTTCTGAGAACGCTTATAACTTTTGAATAAATTTGCCTATTGCAATGAAACTGATCTTAATAGATTCCTTCTGTTATGCCAAAAAACATAGATATCAGGTTTTGCATAATCAGACAAACTTCCTGTCCGCCATCTTTATTTCTTTGAAAAACCTGCTTTTTCGAACTCCTCCTAGACGGTTTGTCCGATTTTCACGAAAATTGAATCGTATCATCTCCAGACCGTCCCGACTAAAAGTTATGAATTGCACGATGATAGACAAAACGGTTTTGGTATACCACAGCATCAAAGTTTAGGCATGCTGCCAAAATTACTATTTAGGCTTTATCTCTGCAATGCCTTCACATTTTGACACCAAACTTTGCATGTGTCATTGTCACCTCACTCTGACCACATCACATCTATTTCGTAACTGCGCCACCTATTGTTCGAAAGTGATAACCCATTAAATCATCTTATGAGTTAATGTTTATGTGATTTTCTTAGCCATTTGCCCAAAGTTCTCTCAAAATGCCCTTAATTGCTCCTTGCTGCAGTTGGTCTGCCACTCCTTGCCATTTTGGCATATGTTGCCGCTTCTTGCGCTTGGCCCCGGTAATGGCTGCTTGCAGCTATATTCTATATTATATTCAAAGCACATTTGATTATATTCTGTCATATTCTATTCTATATTCTATATTTTATATTATATTCAAAGCACATTTGATTATATTCTGTCATATTCTATTCTATATTCTATATTTTATATTATATTCAAAGCACATTTGATTATATTCTGACCTCATTATGGAGGTTCATTTTTAATGCAGGAGTTTACATTTTTTGTAGCAAATAATTAAACTGAAAATGAACGTGCATTACTCAAATATTAATATGCACGTATATAAAGTAATGCATTACTTGATTCATTACATCAAAAAAGTAATCTGATGTGTGTCATTATCCAGCTCAATTCAGTTCGAATCCGATAATGCCAGTGCGTCCAGTAGAGTTCTTTTCTAATAATAACATTACTGAATATGAAGTGTCTTTTAAACAAACGAACCAAAGGCGAATATTCACAGCTTGACCTCGTGACCAATCACAGTGCAGCAATTCAACTGCCGTTTGCATGTGTGGATTTTTTCAGAGCATCAGTGCGATCCTGGACTCGGCCAGTAATGATCTGCTGTCAGAATGTCACCGCAGATCCTTGAAGAAGATCTCCAGCCTTCCCGACTCCAACGAAGAGATCGACGACACCATCCTCACATGATTGACAGCTTCTGATGATCACACTCTCCTCACGCTAGCTTTGACTGTCCTCATCATTTACGCCTCAAGGAAAGCCTGGGAAAGTATTTATTGAGTCGAGCCCCTAAAATCATCACCTGAAATTGGCATTTTCCTTAATTGCCTGGTAATTTGTAAATGTGCATTTTTCTTTTGGTTTTCTTCTGAAAAAGGAAGTATTAATTTGTGCCAATTCTTTACAAATTGCTGTTTTGATTCCCTTTTTTATTTAGTTTTGATGGTGAGCAGTTCATTGCTGTGTCAAGCTGTTGTTAACGTGTGTGTGTGTGTGTGTGTGTGTGTGTGTGAGAGAGAGAGAGTGAGCCATTAACAACCCAAAGGATGTGATGCTGATTTTTTCCAGTTAGCGCTGTGTCCTCTAAAAATGGTTGTATGAATACATAGAAAATGAAAACCTTGATTTAATAAACGGTTTGACTTAAAGAAATAATCTTTGTTTGTTTTTTTAATGCTTGACATTTCATGCATACCAATAACACAATATTAATAACTCACTGAAGTATTATTTTCTAGAGAAATAACCCACATATATTACCCACGCTCAAGTAATTGAACTGAAATAATTCAGAAATCAAAAATGTGAGTTATTACGCTGGATATTCTCTAAACTAATCCTGGGATGATTATAAATGCTATTTAAGGAGTTACATATATGCTGGACACTCAAAAAATCTGAAGTAAAATATCAGTTTTGTAGAGAGAAAAAAATAATATATATATATATATTGTATACATTTCAGACACATCTGTGGATTTACTGTAGTCACCCATATTCATGTCAGTTTTGAGCTCATTTGCAGCAATTCAGCCGATCCTGGGGAATAAAATCTGCAGTTTTTTGACAGACTCAAAGTTTAAACTGCTTTGAAAAGTTTTCTGGCTCTCGCTGAGAAAGTGCTGAGATGACATGGATATATTTCTGTGTCGGCACAAAGGGAGAAAGAATGACACACCAATTGTCATTGTCAAAAAGGCACTGTTGTGGTGCCATGGTATCAGATGGGAATATTTTCAATAATATAGTACTTGTCTCTAATGAGTAACATATTCAAATATCGTTCTATATACGTAAAGAACAACATTTTTAAAATTTTAATTTTTACGTTTTATCAATTTCAAACTTTAATGGGTGGTGAAACGCTTCAACGTTTTGCTGTAATGATGCTATATATACAAATACGCATATTATACATTTATACACTGCTCGGCCGGGAAAAAATGGCTGTTGTTAAAATATGCAGATGTTGTGTTATTTAATGTAAATGTAATGTTATTTCCATCACGAGGTGCATCAGTTTTTGGTCAAGATCTTGTATTGTCAGTGCAAGAGTCCAGCACTCTGTAAAGTCTCGTCCAGAACATCATAAAGACTTTCAATGAATTGAGCTCTGGATTCAGGAGCCGATTCATGTGTGGAAATTATTCTTTATGGAAAATCAGTGCAATAATGATCCAATCAAAGATTTGCCTATTTGAATCCAAACAGTGACTTTTTCTTTTCCTTTCTTTTTTTTCTCCTTTTTTTTTTTTTGCCGGTCATTCACAAATAAAGATGCTAATATTAAGCCAGTGTACAAAAAATGTTAACGTTTTGCAAATGAAAAACTACATCCTGACACTTAAATTCTTTAATTCTTTAAAATAAAAAACATTTTGGATATATTATTTGTCATTAACATATGTTTATATATATATATATATATATATACATGTAAATATATATTAAATGAGTGTGATATCCTCTGATCTGTTGTCGAAAACGTTTTTCAAAAGAAAATTTACATCCTGTCGCTCATTCTTTTTAATTAAATAAAAAAAATAATATTTTTGTATATCTCATTTGCCATTGACCTACTTTATGATTTAAAAGAAATAATAATAATTTAATGAGCGTGACATCCTTTGATCTTTTGTATATTTGGCTCGTTGGCGGCTGCTACGTCATATGGCGTCGGCGCGCTCTGATTGGTCCGTTAGCCGCCCTGGTGCAGGAGGAGGAAGCGCCGTTTCCGGTAATGAGCGACTGACTGACTGACTCCTGACACCGACAAACCCGCTGCTTTCGGCGTCTATCGGGGTGAAATTCCGGGCTCTTCTCCGGGCAGGACCTCAGACGGGTTCCAGCCAAGCGTTCGGCTGGACAGAGGCGTAAAGCTGAAGTGAAGGCGCGGGGTTTGAGGCACACTCCACCGGCATGGCCCGCGACTACGATCACCTCTTCAAGCTGCTGATCATCGGGGACAGCGGTAAGAGACGCCGGGGATGCGGGACGGGAAGCGGGCCGGGGCGAGGCTCTGTGGGGGTTTGAGTGTCTCATTTTGAAGCTGTGAAGTCCGACGGGCTGTAAATAAGCGCAGGTCTGATTTAATGGACAGATGAGCGTGTTTATGTCATTGTGCTGCTGCTTCGTGGGCCGATCGGGCTGATCACAGCAGACAGGCCCGAGATCCACTGTCTGATCTGCTGCTCATCACTCCCATCATTTATTCACTACTAGAACAGAAGTGCATTGATTTAAGTGACCACAGAAAGCATTTGATGTCACACTTAATGTGTCTGAATGTCAGTGCATTAGATAACACGATATCAAAGCAAAACAAACACTTTTACAATAAGGATATACAATAATAGATCTAGCTGAAAATGTATATGGTATTGTGGCACTTTCTGGAACATGTTGATGTTCATATTCAAAACTAATGACGAAAACTGAAGGCAAATAATCCTGCAGGATTACAATGAAGGGGTGTCACTGATCTGAGCAGCTGATCATTTCTGCTGTTTGTCATTTGACACAGAAATACTTGATTTGTTTGATGTGTGTGATAGCTGAAGTAATAGTGATGTAGTGTTTGATTTGTTCTTTGCACCAAAGTAAGGCGAGTGTCCTGTTTTCATTAAGAGCAGCAACACCTCACAGTGGTTCTTGTGGTTTGAGTGTGTGCACCTCGTCGTGTGAAGCAGTCACACACACACACACAAGATCAGTCAAGTTTGGATTTGATAATGGCATACATTTTGCACTGAATTCTGATATATAATCTATATAAAGAAGTTCATAGTATGTGTGTGTATATATATATAATGTCTGTGTTTTTGTATTTCTTCGTTTATTTCATCTTGCATTCACTGGGAATTGAACCCATGACCTTGATGTTGCTATACTCCTCTGTCCTGTGTGTGTATATGTATATGTAGACATTTTTTAATGACGATTTTTTTTTTTTTAGCTTCGTCAGGTACAAGAATTTCTTTACTGTCATGTTTTAATACGGTCAGTCACCGCTCAGCACAGCTGTGCATGCATGCGTGAAGGACGGACGCTGGCACTGACCCTACAGTAGATGTTTCTGTCCTCTGAGGGCTTTTATTTGACCTCTGGTTCAGATCTGACCTCTAATAAAGGGTCTGCATGATATGTTGCAGATCTGTGGTCTGTGAAGAAAGGAAATGGTTTGGACACTGGAGATCTGGCATGTGATAGCCCTTATATTGACATCGTGCATGTGATATAAGATTTCAGATTTAAACTTTACATTGCTATATTTAGTTGCGGCTAGATTTGTTAGATTATGTGGTCTTTTTGAGAGAGCTGAAATATTAGTCTGCAGTTGTCCATGTTTTTCGTTGATAATCATGCACAAGTTCTGCTCATTCTCCAGGAATCTGTGTTGTCTTTCACTAAATAAAGCCTGTAAACTCTTTTATCCTGTGTGTGTGTCAGGAGAGGATGTTTGCTTGGTTTATCTTCCTTTCTGAGAGTCAGCGGTCGGTCTGTTGGCTGAAGTCTCAGACGTTCACTGACCGTAATTCGTATTTCACTAAAAAATCCCACGAGCTCCCTGATATGGCCTGCTCTATCATCACTGTCGGCATACAGCACCTGCAAAGAGCAAACCCACGAGAGCTGAAGAACGCGACCGCTCTAATTCTTGTCTGAATGTACAATAATCTGCAGTCAGTGTGGATGAGATGTTATAATTTGAGAAAATGTTAGGTTTTATCTATAAGCAGTAAGCGTTGTGTGCAGACGTTAGCCTGTCTGGTTCAATAGAGCCTGTATTGATCATATTCATCTGAAATCTGCTGCATCATATGTTGTATCATTCTTTGCTTTTGTTTGTCGTTTATTGTCCCAGGTGTTGGAAAGAGCAGTCTTCTGCTGCGTTTTGCAGACAACACTTTTTCAGGTAAGATCAAGATGCGTGATGTCCAGCGTCATCGGTTTGATTTATCATTATTGAGTACAGACTCGAAGCCAGGAATGTGATAATGTTACAGCTGTTTGTGTGTTGAATTTTTGTATTTATTTAATGAACGAATTAAATAAAAATTCGTATTAAATAAAAAAAAAAATTAAAAAAAAAATCCGTAGTGGACGATTACAAATACAAATACTTCCAAAGTTCTTATTTGCAGATTTTATTGTCATGAGTTAATTTATGGAACTAAACAAATTTAAGTAACTCTTCTTGTAAAAGAGAAATAATATAAGTAAGACTTTTCAGCAAGGATGCATTCAGTTCATCAAGTTGTTAGAGTAAAGATATTTTATAATGTTACATAAAAATCTATATTTCAAATAAATGCAAAGATCTATTCATCAAAGAATCCGTTTCCACAAAAATATGATATTTTAAATAAATCTAAATTAAATATGATGTATATAGCAAATCATCATGTTAGAGTGATTTCTGAAGGATCATGTGACACTAATGATGCTGCAAATTCACAGGAAATAAAATACATTTTACAATATATTCACATAGAAAACAGTTATTTGAAATCGTAATAATATTTCTGATTTTACTGTATTTTTAATCAAATTAATGTGGCCTTGGTGAGCAGAAGAGACTTCTTTCAAAATTCTCAGTGACCCCAAACTATATAATATTAGTGTACATGGCAAAGAAAATATATAAAGAGTTCAGATGCAAAAGCCTCTAAATGCCATTTGAAATTTTCTTCTTTAATGATGATTTTTATCAAACTTGTATATTTAAGTTCAGTAATTTCACTTAAATAACAATTAATAGGTAAATATAATTGCCACTTAAGTGAAATTACTGAACTTAAATATACAAGCTTGATAAAAATGATCATTCTAGAAGAAAATTTCAAATGGCACTTATAGGCTTTTGCATCTGAACTCTTCATATATCACTGTAAATATTAGTAGGGATTATTCAGTACTCCCTTAAATTTAAATATGTTAATGCTGAAATCGTTGTCTCGTGATGTGTAAGCTGTATGGTGGCCAACAGTGTGATGTGCCTAAAATTACTTTCTGTACAATGTTTGCAGAACTAATAATAGAAATGAATGGGTAGATTTTACCCGTTTGTACATGCATCGTTCATCGGTGTTATATTGTGTTGTAGGTAGTTACATCACCACTATAGGAGTCGACTTCAAGATCCGGACGGTGGAAATTAACGGAGAGAAGGTGAAACTGCAGATATGGGACACAGCTGGACAAGAGCGTTTCAGAACCATCACGTCTACGTGAGTCACATGACATGATCAAACCTGCTGCTATTTCAAAGTTAACCATGATACAAAGAGGTTTCAACATTTCGTACTTCATTCTTGAGAAAATATTGTATCACCACCAGAACTGATTCATGCTTGAAGTTTTTGTTTGATACTGTCTGACAGGAAGTAATCAACCCAGTAGATATCAAACCTAACACTCATTTATATCTGGTATTTCTCTCTAGAAATGTATTAAAATAGTGCTTTCACTCTTAGCTTCAGTAATATTTTAGAAAGTGAACAATGTTTCAAGACGACTGTTTTTCTGTGTGTTGTGTGTTGTGTGTACGAGCGTGGCTCTTCACTAACAGAACACCTCAGGGACTCTGTTTGAAGTTTCTCATTAGTTGTGTAACGACTGTGAATCCTGGGACTGAAGCTTTCCATGGGTTTTATTGCACAGTTGCATGTGGCAAGAGAATCCAGTCATTTGCAAACACACCATTTATTTAATAAACTTAATTTGTCTAGAAGCTTTCGTACAGAAAATGCTTCATAAAATAGATTGAACGTTTCAATTGGTTAAAGATTTCCAGATTTTTAAGGTATTATTGGTAAAAGCAGCTTTACCTGAAAACATATGGCTTTCATTAAATTATTCAAAACTTTAAACCACATCTTTGCCCTACAAAATGTACAGACGCATTTCTTGTATTCGGACTGGTGTTAATGTGGCGACATTACGTAGCTAACAAGAGAATGTATGCCACTTCATTAGTGTCTCGTTAGGGAATGTATATGTTCCTGCATGTTTATGCGCTTTGATCTGCTATGATGGCAGAACTGTGACAGGCTCGGCCAATGACAGAAGGGCTTGGTCGCTACAGACCGCTCAAAGAGCTCTTTGTGTGTGCACTTGTCTTTGTGTCTGTGTTTGGAGACAGATGATGGCCTGTGCTTTAAGTCAGAGGGCTGTTCCTCTGTTCACTGTTGGTTCCTGCTGGGAAATGAAAACTAAACACTTTCTTAAAGGGACAGTTCACCCAAAAATGAAAATTAGCCCATGATTTTGTCATCCTAGGTATATATGACATTCTTCTTTCAGTTATATTAAAATGTCCTGGCACTTCCGAGCTCAATGGGTTTATGTTTTTGGAAGTCCATCAAAGCGCATCCATTCATGATAAAAGTGCTCCACGCATGCTCTGCGGGGGTTAATAACGGCCTTCTGAAGTGAAGCGATGTGTTCATGTAAGAAATATATTCATATTTAAAACTTTATTGACTAAAATAACTAGCTGACGGTCTACGCTAGTCGAGCTGCGCCAAAAGAGTAACACTTGAACTTGACGTGTGTTTGAACCGCGAGAGGCGTCAAAGCTTACGCTACTCCTACATCTACATCATACATCGTCCAGTGTTACTCTTTTGGCGTAAGTCGACTTGTGTGGGCCGTTTGCCGGATGGTAGTTATTTTAGTCGATTTTTAAATCAACTAAGTTTTAAATATGTATATTTTTCTTGCACGAACGCATCGCTTTACTTAAGAAGGCCTTTATTTATTTACAATGTCGTAAACGCTTGGATGGCTACTGGGTGAGTAAATCATGGGCTAATTTTCATTTTTGGGGGAACTATCCCTTTAAACTAAAGTCTTTAATACTCTTGATTTTCCATTTTCAGGTATTACAGAGGAACCCATGGGGTCATAGTGGTGTATGACGTCACCAGTGCCGAGTCATTTGTCAACGTCAAACGATGGCTGCATGAAATAAACCAGAACTGTGATGACGTCTGTCGAATATTAGGTCAGTTCACCATTGCAGGCTCTACACCAGTGTTTCTCAACCCTGCTCCTGAAGGACCCCAACCAAGCCGGCCAAGGGCTCTCTCTCTCTCTCTCTCTCTCTCTCTCTCTCTCTCTCTCTCTCTCTCTCTCTACACCTGATTCAGCTCATTAGAAGAAACTCCAGGACCTGAAATGGGTGTGTCAGAAAGACACCTTCAAAATGTGCCATGTTGGGGGTCCTCCAGGACAGGGTTGTGATGATTTTACCATGATGAATCTTCTAAAAAAAAATTTTTTTTTTTTTTTTTTTTTTTTGCATTTTAGTTACGATAAATGGTCAGGGTGGACAGTTAGTAAAACTCTTATTTATAAAAAACAAAACAAAAACATCCATGATATGAAACCTTTAGTGCATGAATTAGTAGTACTGCCAAAGGTCACTTCTGTATTAACGTCTCTCTCCACTTCTGTCATGTTGTCCCTTCAGTGGGCAATAAAAACGACGATCCAAACTCTAAGGTTGTGGAGACGAATGACGCACAGAAGTTCGCAGAGCAGATGGGCATCAGTCTGTTTGAGACGAGTGCAAAAGAGAATGTCAACGTGGAGGAGGTGAGTTCCTCAGGGCTCTGTCTTAGGACCTTTCAGATTGGGCTGTAAAAACACTTTCAAACACTCCTGACTCACTCATGTGCAGCTTCCAGGCCTGGAAAAATCACTGAAATGTATTTTTGCTCTCTTCTAGAATATTTTAATTCATATTTCACAGAATGATTACTTGAAAAGTCGATTACTTAATTTCAAGTTGTCAAAGAAAACTTGGCAGATTGAAATTTAACTAAACATTGAAATTAATTTAAAAAAAGGGTATAAATATTAGTACTGGGCAACGATTTATCACATTCAAATAAAAAAATTGTGTTTACATAATATATGTGTGTGTATTATTGTGTAAAAAAAAAATTGTATAATTATTTTGTAAATATAAATGCACACACACGCATGTATATATTAAGAAATATTTGCATGTATATACGGTGTATATATATTGGGGCTGGGTATTGAGACAAATTTCACAATTCGATTCGATTTCAATTCACGAGCTTGCAATTCAATTCGATTTCGATTACGATTCGATTCAATATCGATTATTTTGGATATCAGTTACAATAAATGGCCATTTTTCTCAAGAAAATCAAATCTCTTAACTAATGCTGTAAACTATGGGAGTCTAGTTGTAGCCTATAGACTTCATTAGCCTAATATGAAGGTAATAATGAACTGTTTTGTAGCTATACAAACACTTAATACACTTTTATTTATTTTTATAATAAGAAGATTATATGAAATATAAACATTTAAATGGTGGCTTTCATAAAAACTTGCCAGATTTATTCAAATATGCATTAAATATTGAAGAACATTAAGATTATAATGCATATAATATGGTGTATATATTTAGCAAAATGCTCCTCTCTAGAGTTATTTTTTCTAGCTGACTAACGAGTTTATGTGGGTTTTCTGAGGTAAATATGACAATACATGACATTGATTACAAGCTGTTTAACTGACGTCTTTCCACGTTTGAAACGCTGATTGAGTGAATCAATGTGACATGATACGGACTTCGATAAGTTGTACTCTATCTTTAACACACTTTCAGATGCTCATTCATGTTTATTTCGCGCTGTAACTGGTATTATTATCCCGGAAGAGAGATCAGCGCTGCTGCTTCTCCAGAGCGATCTCACGCCACAGCGCCAAAACGCTATTCATGTTTTTGAATTTCTAAAAAAAATGGACGTAATTTAAAAATTGAGACGTTGTTTCATATCAATAGTAACAAAGGACAAAGATTATTGCGATTTTTTTTTTTTTTTTTTTTTTTTTTTTTTTTTTTTTTTTTTTTTTTTTTTTGGGATGCGCGCAGCTGCGATACAATGCTCCATTCATTCAAATGAAACAGGATGACTAATCGATTCTTGATATTTAAGAATCGATATCGGTTCGTAAAAATGAGAATCGATTATTATAAAGAAATCGATATTTATAACCCAGCCCTAATATATATATATATACACAGAATTTATATTATAAAAATATTTTGTATATAAATAACACATTTTCTTAAATGTATACAAGCATGAAAGTGTTTATATATATATATGCATACACAAAGTAACTATACACAGTGCACACACATTATAATGTAAACACAAACTTTTTGGACGGCCCAGCACTAATGCATATATATATATATATATTGTAGGCTATAGACATGCATGCGTGTGTTTCATCTGTTCATCTGTCATCTACAGCGGCTTCCAACACGGCTCATCCATTCAGATTTTAAAGCTGGATGTGTTTAATAAAGTGTGTTAGCTTTTATCGGAATCAGCGCTGGATGGTTCAGTAACGTGTACGTGTGTGTTTCTGGTCTTTGTGTAGATGTTTAACTGCATCACAGAGCTGGTGCTCCGGGCAAAGAAAGAGTCTGTGGCCAAACAGCAGCAACAGCAGCAGAATGATGTGATTAAACTGGGCAAGAATAGCAAACGAAAGAAAAAATGCTGCTAGTGCACGAACAGACGTTCCTCTGCACATGCGGACGGACTGTGATCGTCTCAATTACACAAACACAGGGCGGACACAATGCAGTCCTTTCTGGACCGAGTCAAGCCACAAAGACTTTTTAAAAGAAAATGTACAGATTTTATCGGAGTCGAGGAGTTTCACGTGGAATTGGTGATATTTAATAAAAACATCCTCCTCCTTTATTGAAGGACCAGCAAGCTGACATGATCGCCAAACCGCTTTCAGAATTACTCTCTATTATCCGCCATCTCAGGAGTGATTTTTTTTTTTTTCTTCTTCATCATCATCATCATCTTCTCTTTCTCACATTTTTGTGGAATGCCAGTGTTTTTTCTGCAAGAACAATTAGGCCTTTTTTCCCCCTTTTTTATTATTTTTTTTATGAATTAATGCAATTACAGACATTCACTCATCGTGGACTCAAGACAGATGGCAACAATTTTTCAGTTCTAGCTCATTTTTAGACCAGTGATGCGTCAAATAGCAGTCTTTTGATTCTCTCATTCCCTCAAATCTGTTCCTTCCTTTCATCTCAGATGAAGAGCATGTCTGTTTTAGATGTGAAATTAAGTCAGACCAAGCCCATTTCCCGCCCAAATTCTCATTTTACAATGCAATATTGTAAAATGTTTCTACGTCATGATCGTATTTGTTGTACTGCCTTTAATACTCCTTTAAAATAGTCTTTTTTTTGATGCGTTATTAGGAAGAGGATCGAGTCAATCATTATCATGAAAAAAAAAATGGCCTTGTAATAGGCTTCATGCAAAATCTAGTTTCTTTTTTTCCTTTAGATTTAGGGCTGAACATGTTTCGATGAGGTTAGTTATCCGGTGGACGTTCACAGACGTCTTTTTCCGCGTGTTTTTGTGCTTCCCGTGAAGATGAAAAGAATGAGGGCGTAATCTCAGACGGCATCGTGACCGAATCGCCCTCTCGTTCGGTGTTGCCATAGACTTGCTGGAGTCGCATCTTTGGGTCTTGAAGCCGATTTGTTCTCCCGCATCTCATCGATGAGTGATGTCAATGTCAAACGAGGTTGTAACACATTGCTACGAGTCCTGTGTGGAGCACAAGATCCTCAACTCATCCGGACACTGATCCAAGCAAAGTTTAAAAAAAATTAAAATGCACAGTTGCAAAGGGTGTATTGCTAATATCAAATGTAATATGTTTTTATATATGGGCGGGAGATGTTATGTTAAAGTGTGTAAGCCAAAGGGGTGTTCATCCCTAAACAGACACATTTCTTGAATTTTCTTGAGTCTTTATGGCGGATACCCGACCTGTGAGATCTTCCTTTGGGGGTGAATCTCACGAAAACGTGACCGTGTCACAATTCAACCCTAAAGAAAATATTTTTCGTGAAGAAAAAGAAGCCTATTTTCCTATGTTCTTTGCATTTAAATTGTGAGTGTATTAAAACAAATGGAGGTGTATGGTGATTATATGACGCAATGAATTTAGATATGCAATTCACAATATGCAAAACATATTGCTTCATTTTTGAGCGTTTTTGTGAGATTCACCAATAGGAGTCCTTTCATTATTAGTATTAATTCAGTGAGCCAAAACACGGCAGAAGCCCTAGCTGTGCCGTGAGCCAAATTCAACCTAGTCATGTGACTTCTGTTCATCATATTTGTGCGTATACTTGCACGTATTATGTCCATGCAAACTGTGCTGGTTGAAACACTTTTTTCAGCTGTGGTTATATTATACACTGGAGAAAAGAAATGTATTATGGACATCCCCTTTATGAATTAAGTCATTAATAAATATTTTAAAGAATCAATATTTGACACAAGCTTTTTTTGTCCTCGTCTTTATTAAGCATCTTCAGGGAACATCTGTTTACAAGCTATCTGGCTGTTTATTGCAGATTCCTCCGTTTTATTAGCGGAATAACTGATGATTGAGAGACGTTTGCATTTGTGTTTTTTATTGTGATGCATCACAGTGCGTTCCACGTGAAGACATTGGAAGCTTTTTAAACATGTTTATGTTTGCGTTTGTATATAACTTGGCATTTTCAAGGAATCTGTTGGAAAAATAACAATTTGGTCATTATAAAAACATACACCATATTGTACTTGCAATGAGTATAAATGCCATACATTTAGAAGTATAAAATCTTCCTTATCTTCCTAAATCTTCCCTAACCCTAACCCTAACCCTAAGATTTACTGCAAGGATGCATATATATATATATATATATATATATATATATATATTAATAAATATATTACATTAATTTTCAGAAAGTGCATTTAAGGAAAGAAATGTGGCGCTAATGAAAAAAGCTGGTGAGAACAATTAATTTTAGCTTTATACAACATTACTCTCATCCTACTTTTATCAAATATGTTTTTCCCCATGTAAAATAAGCTTTTTGGTTTGCTTATAACAATCAGATCAACAGGATCAGGACAGAATTGCTTAATATTCAATATTTCTATTAAAATAATCTTATAGAAGGTATAGTGATAGTTTTTGTCTTATGAATGAAATCTACACAGAAAGACATGCAAGTGCTGCTAATTTGAGTGATGTTTTAGAGAGGGTTTTTTCTGGAAATGAGAGAAAGACATTCACAACAGCAGCTCACACAGATAAACACACACACACACTGGAGAGACTTGCAAAAACAGTGTTTAAATGGCAAAAGGACAGATAGTACAAAGTCAATGTGACACGAGACATTTACATAAGTGTGTAAAACGCAAGACAAAAAAAATCTAAAGAAATGACAGAAGAGACTCATTGAAATGTTTTCACATGGAGAACAACAGAAAAAAAGATGAGTAATACTCTAAACGTGGAGCGATTCAGGCTGTGGCTGCTGTCTGGAAGATTTAAACCACATTTGTGATTTATGTTTGACAATCTGCTAATAAAACGTGTTTAATTCATGTGTCAGTCAGGAGAAGCACGACAGGAATTCATCAAAACGTCAAAAATCCTGTTTGCATCATCCAACTGCAATTTTTCTAAACTGGTATTTGCTTATGTAGTCAATAAAACTCAATTAAATGTAATTGAGAAGCATTTTAACAAGAATGTTTATTTACATGCAGATATGCATGTATTTAGTTTAAATAAAATGCTTAAAGGTGCACTATGTAACTTTGTTCAAAATTAGTCGAGACGCATTCAATGCTTTTCCAAAACGTGTTTTTGTCTTACACCGATTCACTATGGTGAGTCTATAGAGTGCCGAAGTGATGGCGTCACTCTGTAGGCCAAAACTCGTAAGCGAGTTAGCATTTTAGCACTCCCGGTTCCCTCGCTCTTAAGTCAATGGGATTTATGAATGGGTTTTTGTTAAATCGCCTGAAATAAGGTCTGTGGTGAACAAAGCCTCTAAATATTTTCCCGTTTTGACCTATAAACTTTATATAGGCTTCAAAATGTATACATTTTGGATTAACTTGTAGAGATTATTTTGATAGACAAAACGATTTTCCAAAAGTCTATAGGGAAAATGCATAGCTTTTCGATCGAGGGAACCCATGCGCCGCTAGCTTCCGAGTTGTCCTACAAAGTGACGTCATCACTTCGGCACTCTATTATAAATGTTTATATTTCAGATCTGTCTGGATGGTTTTCGCGGGAAATTGCGTACATGCGTCGCTCGCCCGCGTGTGTCTCATCATATCTGTGAATAGAGAAAAGTTGCCGAGCTCGTAATATAACAAGAATCAACATTAGCTTCACTTTTCAGGGATGTGAAATGTTGTGAACGTGATGCTAAAATGGTGTTTTGACTATTTAACAGATCAGTGAGGTGTTTTATTAAATAAAATAAAATATTGAATATACAGATAAACTGCTATATGCATCTCTCTAACAGAGTTCATTAAAGCATTATCTGTGAAGGCTCATGTTCATCCGCACAGAAGCACAACCAAAACAATGTTCCTCCACAAAATGCATGCAGTTTTGTTGTTTAACCACTAGAGGGCCAAAAGTTACATAGTGCACCTTTAAAGTCCCCGTGAACCGGAAGTTGCAAACGATTTTTCTCCAGTGCTGTGACGTATTTCCAAGTGAAACGGAATATTGAACAGAGGGCAGGGTTTTACTCTAGCGCTCCTCCTCTCCATCTCTCGCTCATAGCAAACTAACGGTTTGGGGGGAGTGGTTAAGCGTTTCCCCACCCAAACTGTGAAACCTACGTCATCAGAAAAAGAAACTGTTCCAGACCGGAAGTAACTTTTCAGATTTTGATTAAAGATTACCAAGGTAAAACATTTTTTTAATATATTTTTACTTGCACGGATTAATTGTTCACCACAAGACTAGTAATATGCGCTAACAAAGTAAATAGGTTCAATTTTGATTTCACGGGGACTTTAAACACTGAAGTTGATCAGTTTTGTTATAAAATGCTTTTTTGTGCACATTTAGTAAGATAATGCCTTATTTGCAATACTGAAAGGTCATTATGGTTAATATTCATGTGACTTTGTTACAATGAAACTTGCATTGTTCACTTGTAATACCTCTCCAGACTGGATCAGTCATCTTTATTCACATTGGATCGCTATAGAATGATGTATTGAGTCTGGATTCGACGGGTTAAGATGGTTTACATTCAGCTCTAATCAGACAGCGGACCTGTTCAATCCTCCAGAAACACTTATAAATCAGACTCACGCTTGCATGAAGAGTTTTCTAAAAAAAAGTGTTGATTTATCATTCAAAAGTTATACATTTACAAATATATTGATTCCTTTTCTTATTCCAAACCTATTTGTGTCTTTGTACGTATAAAAAAAATCACTCTTTGGATTTCTCCGAACTAGAAATCACCTCTGCGAGAAAGAAGACAGCTGCATAGCTTTGCTCAAAACCTGCCCAACTTTCACTGACTGAACACACACACACACTGAACACTTTTGAAAGACACAAGACACACCCATTTACAGCTCACGATCAGGACACAAGTCATTCTCATAGGCTGGAACCTCCACATGCCGAGTGGCTGGAGGAAGTACACACTAAAAATGACCCTGACTGCGTTCAGAACACCATACTAGCACACTACACTACTCATGATCTATATACAACAAATCAATACTCAAACAGTTGCCAAAAACAGCATTGAATACTGCTTCCCAAAATGCAATGCACTTGACTTGGCCTTCCATTTACAATGAATAAACCGAACGAAAATAAAACAATTTTGACTCATTTGATTGGATTATCAAAAGTGAAACTGGATTTAAAAATTGCTTAATTTCATATTTTTTGTGACTGCGACGTAGCGTACTGCTCCTTTAAATACGGTTACGTTCTGCATACAGCGTCACAATATTTATGTAAATAATAGTAGGCCTACGTCGTATATTTTGCGCCGTCTTCTAATATTGCATTCTGAACACAGCCGCAGTTTCAGTGCATCTCGACTCGGAGGACTGCTATTTTCTAACGGTGAGTATTTCTGTCTGATTTATACTGTGTGTGTGTGTGTTTGTAAGTGTGTAAACGATATTTCCAACGCAGTATTTTCAGTTCCCTTTAATTACAGCTCAACACGTCTGCTCTTTGGTTCATTCACATCACAGATGGGGACACAGACGGCCTGAACGCTTTTCTCCAGGTAACGTTACGTCTGATAAAATACACAAAATATGTTTCCGTTAAAGGGGACCTATTATGCAAAGTTCACTTTTGAATATAATTATGTGTGTACACAGCCATCCTGTTGTGGTAAAAAAAAATCCGTACACTCCCGATTGTAGTTTATCATATCTAATATACACATGATTTCTCTTCCTGCTTTTTATGTTCACACACATCGACTGTTTTGTGAAATTTGTGTGTTTTTTTGGCCTAACCTTGTGTTTATACGTCAGTTTAAGCGCAATATGACGTGAAGGAGAACTTGGTTTAATACTAACGGCCGGCCAGTTTTCTGCGCGCGCGCTTCGGGTGTGTGCGCGCGCGCAGAGAACCACATATCGGAAGTTTAGACTGATAAAACACTTTAATAAACTTTAATGATGCAGAACTGCAATGTCACGTAAGTGTGACCGCGGTAAAGATGATAATTAAAACCAAAGAGATGTTTTCGTTTTTGTCAGAGTGTCCGAGGCACGAGCTGTTGTACTGATATTTTTCCTTTTACTCAAAACTGGGTGTAATATTCACTCAACACGGTATAATAAATGATCTGTGGGATATCTTGAGCTGAAACTTCAGACACATTCTGGGGACACACGACACTTATATTACATCCTGTAAAAAGGAGCATAATAGATCCCCTGTTGCATTATTATTTTCATGTTGCGCGCTTTTCATAACGATCTTTTTTATATAATATTCATATGGTTGTTAGAAAGTTAAAGGGATAGTTCACTTTGAAATTAATTTTTGGTATGTTTTATCTTACCTCAAGGGCATCCAAGATGTAGGTGTCTTTGTTTCCGCAGTAGTTTCAATTTTGATATGTTTAGCTCAAACCGTTCTTGTCTGTCAGTCATATAATGGAGGTCTATGGTCACCACCTCAAAGAGCATAAACATGATTTAATGACTCGTAAATGTAAGTATTTAGATACTGGAAATCGCTATGGAAGACGATTTCGATATATATCAACAGACAACGTTCAATTTTTTTCACAACTGCGTGAGAGATTACTTCCGGCGCTTGCGCAGCCTTCAGAATACTCGGACGTGGCTGTGATTACAAGAGGTAAAAACGATATAAATACTGTTCGTTTTCTCACACAAACCGCTCGTTTCGTGTCTTAGGCCATCAATGTGTACTTACATTTACGAGTCATTAAATCATGTTTATGGACTTCTCTGTGCATGCTCTTTGAGGTGGTGACCATAGACCTCCATTATATGACTGACAGACAAAATATCAAAATTGAAACTACTTTGGAAACAAAGACACCTACATCTTGGATGCCCTTGAGGTAAGCTAAAACATACCAAAAATGTATTTCAAAGATATCTATACCTTTAATTACATTCACTTGTGTGTGTGTGTGTGTCTGTGAATGAACCCAAGAGCAGACGACTGTTACTAATTTCGACTTGTTGCAGCATTCAAACATCATCTATAATCAGGCCAACATGGAATCTGTGTCCGAAAATATCCATACGCCATCCACGTCACGCTACACATCCTTCGAGTAATACACATTGGGTCGGTCCACAGATTCCATCAGGGCCTGTAACTACAGCGTGACGCTGAAAACATTAGTCCTGAACCGTTTGAAGTCTAGTTCATCCTGAGTTGAGTCTCTAGCGAATCCCGTGATTTGTCGGTAAGCGGATGTTCCTCCATCAGTTTCTGGCAGTGAGGTGAGGACGAGCTTTCCGAGGCACTCGCAGGGGAAACTGACCTCTGATAGGACTGGAGAATTCTGGGAACCCTGTTGAACAGACCCTGACGCAGGGCTGCGTCTCGTCAGATTCCTGTTCAGCTCCTGAAGCTTTCCGAGTGAGGTTTGAGGGTACAGATAAAGTGCAAAATGTCTCAAAAGCCGTCAGAGGACTCGTCCGTTAGCGCAGTGCTTCTCAACCGGTGGGTCGCGACCCAAAAATAGCTCTATGACTTTGCTTCTACAGTCAATTTTTGGGTGTTGAATTGCATATCAAATTTAGATTACACTGTTTTAACAAAGTAACACATTTAAAGGAGTAGTTCACTTTTGAAAAAACTTTTGCTGATAATTTACTCACCCCCATGTCATCCAAGATGTCCATGTCTTTCTTTCCTCAGTCGAAAAGAAATTAAGGTTTTTGATGAAAACATTCCAGGATTTTTCTCCATGTAATGGACTTCAATGGGGTCCAAACAGTCCAAGGTCCAAACGACAGTTATAACAGTTTCAGATGCAGCTTCAAATGTCTTTAAACGACACCAGACGATGAATAAGGGTCTTATCATGCGAAACGATCGGTTATTTCAAAGCTTATTCCAAAAAATGTAACTTTGTTGAACGCATAGGTTGAACGTGAAAACTAACTCAAACGCCGTTTACAAAAAAAGGAATTAAAAGGTAAAACAACGATGTCGGACGATTTCGATTCTGTACTTCCGGCTACGTCGCCCGTGACCTTTTGAACGTAATTACGTATTACGTGACGTTGCAAACGCGCCTCACAATATATTACAAGGCTAGCATTTGTCCTTAGAAAAGTTACATTTTTGGAATAAGCTTTGAAATAACCGATCGTTTCGCATGATTAGACCCTTATTCATCGTCTGGTGTCGTTTAAAGACATTTGAAGCTGCATCTGAAACTGTTATTAACTGTCGTTTGGACCTCGGTTGGACCCCATTGAAGTCCATTATAAGGAGAAAAATCCTGGAATGTTTTCATCAAAAACCTTAATTTCTTTTCGACTGGGGAAAGAAAGACATGGACATCTTGGATGACATGGGGGTGAGTAAATTATCAGCAAAAGTTTTTTCAAAAGTGAACTACTCCTTTAAAATGATGCATATTTGTCAGTCATACAGTACATGGATGAAACTGATATTTACTGTTTGATTTTAATCTTAATCAAATTGCGGAAACAAGCAATATTCAATTAATTGCATTTATGAGATTCTGGATTTATTGATAAATGTGGTTATTGTGCATTTAAAACATTCAGTTTATCAGTATTATAAGTTGCATGGGGATTTTATATGAATTTCAAACACGCATAAATCGAAATGTAAAATCTATATTTATATTTTTCGAGTGCATCGACGCAATCAATCAAGGCATTTTAGTTGGGTTTTGTTTTTTTTTAGGTTTGTACGATAAATGAGCAGCACCGGTTGAGAAGCACTGATTCTATCTTTCGTTTGTTGTACCCTTCCTCACTGTCTTCCTCCATGTCTTCAGAGAATCTCAGTTCTTCTTGAAGAATGAAAAGAGGCGCTTGTCTCTGTCCGAGAGGCGATGGCCTCTTCTGGAAGAGGCGGCTCCTCCTCGCGACCCGCTGAAGGAGAAAGGAGGATCCTTCCACTCCTCCTGGTGTTTATCCATCAGTTGTTGATCGATAACTCTGTGCATATCATCCTGAGAGAGAGAGAGACATCAGCGCTGGACTTTAAGACAGAAAAGAGGCCACAGAAGACAGTCTGAGGTGAGTGAGAATGGATGAACATGAGTCCTGTGGGGCATGAAGGCTGTTTTTACACTGTTCTCTGAACGAAATTAAAACTATTAACTCTTTCCCCGCCTTGACGGAATTTTCCGGCATTCCGTGTTTTCACTGTTATAGGGTAGGGGGCGCTATGACGCATCTACTGAAAGAGCACATAATCTCCTGATCAAAACATAGAAAGAAGCGATGGCACATGTAAATACACGAATATCAACATTAAACAGCAGATTCATCAAAACTGTCAGGACCCAGGACGAGCTTTGAGTGCGTTTGACTCGATCTACTCCATCTGTGTTTTGATCATCGTTCTGAATCCCATATCAAAATGTTGCTTTTTTTTACTAAACTTACCCACTGATTTAAAAAAAAAAAAGGATAAAACAATTTTGTTTAAAAGCTTATATATTTGTTTGATATATTGCATGTTCAGATATTCATAAAAAAATATTTTGGGGGCATGTACAATTTTCAAAAATGCTGGCCGTGACTGGCGACGTTTTTCGTAAACACTGGCAGGGAAATAGTTAAGACATTTTCAGTGACTGAAATAAAATTAAATATAGATATTAGATGAAAACTTTTTGGCAAATAACTGAAATAAATGTAATGCTTTATAACAAGGTCTTATTATCTAACATGACTATATACAGCATTTATTAACTTTTTTTCATGTCAGTTCATCTTGTATTAAATAATATTAACCGATGCAGCTTTTGATTTTAAAAAATGTATGAGTGAATGTTGAGATTAACAAAGATGATGTAGTATTTTATCACTGTTAGTTCATGTTAACTAATGTAGGTGAACCAATGAAACCTTATTGCAATGTGTTACAAAAAAACGTTACTAAAACTAAAGCTGGAATAAAAAATAAATGAAATAGAATAGAAATAAATGTAATAGCTAATTAGAAATATATAAAACAAAAAATTAACACTTGGTTAATTACATTAACATAACATGAACTAATAATGAGAAACACTTCAAAAGCGTTTATTAAACTTAATGTTAATTTCAATATTGTATTTGTTAATAAATTGTAAATTAACTAATGTTGACAGAGACTGACTATAGTTAGTTAAATTAATAAAATAAAATGACTAGAATTAAAACTGAAAACACCACAGTCGATACCACAGGTTTCTTTTCACGCAAGCATTCTCTTGTAATGTTTGCTCTAGTGTGAAAATGCCCTGAAGAACAACACCACAATGACATGAACGGCGACCTCGTGACCTCGTGACCGGGGATGAACATGGATACGGGGAAGACGGCGAACCCGAGCTCACCTCTAAGGCAGGAGGGAGTTACCATAGGGGAGAAGGGGTCTGTATGGAAGCTGAGAAAGGCCACTAGATCAGAAACCACAAGAGCCACACAGTGAACAGCCCTGAGGAGGCAAACTGCAGGCGGAGAGAGAGAGAGAGAGAAAGAGAGAGAGGGGGAAGCTAAGAGTTAAACACACACACACACACACACACACACTCACGGGATACAGGTGAGGCAGAACGACAGAACCGCTGATCTTTGCTTTAATATGAGGAGAAGGACAGATGAGCACACACTCAAACGGACACACTGAGAGCTAAAGTCAACATGAAACTGCACTCACAACACATTAAACATCTGTAATGGACCATAGTTCCCTTTTAATCTGTGACTGGAAACTCATGAGCATTTACACGGATCCCAATAGTAATGTCTTTTTTCAAATCTATTATTATCTTAAATTGCTGTAACCTTTATAAATGTGAACGTTATCTGGCTTTAAATTACCATTAACTACTGATTATATTTTCCAAATGTTGTCATGTACAATAGTACATTTTTTTTAATGTCATGAAAGCATGATTTTCATCAAGACCAACTTATTTTGTGAGATGGACCAAGAAAACCTTTTTACTATTTTTATCACAAGTGCATCGGCAACACTTTATAATAAGGTTAACTTTAGTTAGCAAACATCAACTAACAATCAGCAGATATATATATATATATATATATATATATATATATATATATATTAGAGCATTATTAATCTTTGTTAATGTTAGTTAGTAAAAATAGTAAAAATTGTTCATTGTTTGTTCATGTTAGATCACAGTGCATTAACTAATGTTAACAAATACAACTTTTGATTTTAATAATGTATTAGTAAATCTGTATCTGCCCGTGAAGCTGGTATAACAATACATTTAAATACATCCAACCAACATCATGTACAGTAATAGCCTGAAACAAAGACTAAATACATATTTGACTTCTGATTGACATTGACTGTACAGTCTAGGTGACGACATCCAAAAAAAAGAAAAAAATAGAGAAACTGTTTTAGTACATTTAGATTTTTTAATATTACAAAAACATTTAGATTTTGTTTAGATGGTATGCATTAATGAATTGTGTTCAATAAGATCAGGAACGCGTCGTAAAGTAAATACAGTCAATGTTGACTTCATGTTGACTTTAAGGATAAAGGGCCAAAGGAGAGAGAAACAGACAGAGAGAAAGAGGCTGACCACTGCCATTCATTACAGTTTAGCATCACAAAAGCTCATTTACTGTGTTAATGAATGTAGCACGTAAATCTCGCCAGTCTTTTCACAGAACGAGGGTTACCATCACGACAGTGGGTTGGAGTTCTTGAATGGCTATTTGTAATCTGAATGTCTAATATGGCACACAAATTTCTCATGATCTGACCGCTTGAACTTTACAGTGTATGTCGGTGTATGTGAGGCAAATGTAAAGCGCTTTGGTGACCGTTGGGTCTGTTAAAGCACTATATACTGTAAATGCAGTCCATTTCACCAGTTACCATTTTACAGGATAGTCAGGAGACGTGTGTCGTGTTCTTAAAGGGATACTCCACTTTTTTTGGAAATAGGCTCATTTTACAACTCCCCCAGAGTTAAACTGTTGAGTTTTACCGTTTTTGAATCCATTCAGCCGATCTCCGGTTCTGGCGGTACCACTTTTAGCATAGCTTAGCATACATCATTGAAGTGGCTAAGACCATTAGCATTTCTCAAAGAAAAAAAAAATGAACAAAGAGTTTTAATATTTTTCCTATTTAAAACTTGACTCTTCTGTAGTTACGCCGTGCGCTTAGACCGACGGCAAATGTAAAGTTGCGATTTTCTAGGCTGATGGCTAGGAACTATACTCTCATTCCTGCGTAATAATCAAGAAACTTCACAGCCGTACCATTAGTGCAGCCGGCGTAATGATATGACGTCAGGCTAATACCGATTTTCAGGCGCTGCGTCATATCATTACACCTACTGCAAGTTTTAAATAGGAAAAAATATCGAATCTCTTTGGTCCTTTTTTTTCTTTGAGAAATGCTAATGGTCTAGTCCACTTCAATGATGTATGCTAAGCTATGCTAAAAGTGGTACCGCCAGAACTGGAGATCTACTGAATGGATTCAAAAACGCTAAAACTCAACATTTTAACTCTGGGAGAGTTGTAAAATGAGCCTATTTACAGAAAAAGTGGAGTATCCCTTTAAACGGTCCACCTGGAAACAAAGCCGCTTTGATGCCAAACCCCCTCGTGGAAAAAGAAAACCATCATGTTTAAATCTGTGACAATGAGCGCTAATCAGGATCAACTAAATGCTGGATTTTAAAAGTATGTGAAGTTCATGTTCATAGACGTCTAAGAGTTTTGCATGCCTTTCTGTTATTGTAGGGACATCAACGTTACATTTTCACACCCCTAAACATGCCGCGTAATAAAATTAACGGTGATTGGTTGCTTTACATGTCAGTCAGTTGGCCTTTGGGTTAGGGTTAGTGTTAGGTCCTTGCCCAATGAAAGCTGTGTTGGAGTTTCCAACCCTTCTGCCATCAGTCTGAAGCTCTGGCTATGCGAAACTAATTGTAACCCCACGGCACCAATGTTAACAAGCACGTTAAAGACCACAGTTAAATTGGTGCCGTGACCCGGATGGGAGTGAGGTTTATTGTGCGGTCTTTGTCTGACATTCAATTACACCATTCGTTTTGCTCCATGGGATGAATAGTTTGTGTGTTCCCCACAGGTTTTACCTTTGCATTTGTTAGTAATATGTTGTGTCTAATAACATTCTGTAATGGGATTCATTGGAGAGAGAGTGAGACTAACCTGCCAGGCTTCTAACTGCTGAGACAGGTTGAGTTTCTGCTGTATCGCATCCAACAGCTGACTGTTCAAAGACATGATGTCTATCTTACACTTCGCCAGCTCCATCTCCACGGCTTTCTTCCTGTAACAGGGAAGACGAGAAACGAAAGAGTCAATGAACTGCATCGTGAATGGCAGAATGGTGTCCCAGAGGGAGAGGCTGCCAGAACATGGTGGCCTGAAAAGTTTTTGGTTCATTTGTCAACTGCTGGTCACTTGATTTCAGGAATTATTCACATCTGTTGTAAGTAAAAGAATTGCGCTTGTAGTGTACTTCTTATCTTAAAAGTATATATTTAAAAAAAAAACTTTACCTGCATATAACTTTACTTATGAGTTTGGAGAAGACGCACCATCTTTGGCCAGGTCATGTGACCTTGAGAACGTAATGCTTTACGACCGTCACATGACCACAAGCTCGGAAGAGTCAAGGAAAAGAAAACAAGAAACTGACCGCGTGAGAAAACCGGACAAGAGTCTCACTCGGTCAGGCTTTCACTTAAAATAGGAGCTCTTAAAGGGGCCACGCCTTATTTACGACAGTACAAGTACTCCACAGCGACTCTAGGGGTCGCATTTGACAAAATGGAATTCCTACACTTTATAAGTGTCAAAAACTCTTATGTATACTCTTTAAAGTATAATCTTTGCTTAAGGTAGCCTACTCTTTTTAAAAGTATGCTAAAGTGTCCTTCCTTACAGGCTGAAGTATAATATTAAGCAAAAAATGTGTACATGTGTGTCAGTCATAATTACTTGGTAATGGCTTCATCTCTGTCTCGAATCGCACTCTGTAACCGCTCGCTGGGTTCGTGGACTTCCGCCATCGCTCTCAACCTCTCGTTCTCTTCCCTTGAAGAAGAAACTTCCACCGAGAGCAGCGCCACCTGTAGGATCCGAAGAAGAACCAGAGGACGGATGAATCGATGAGCTCAGGTGTTTATATAAGGCCTGGCCCCACACGCCAAATAATGTCCAATTGCTAAATTGGTGCGATGTTCAATGCGGCTGCAGATTTTGAAGGGGAATCATGGATGTCAGCTCGAACCCCGCCCACAACATTTTTTGGTCGGAAATACATTTTTCACGGCGGTATTTCCGATGAAGATGTAAGGATGCTCGATAACTTCCGCCGATTGTAGAGTCCAATGCAATACCGAGAATTTATTTTGAATTTTATACTCCATGGTTATACTAAAGAAGCGCTAGTCCCAAAAACAGATAAAACTGACACCCTTCGTTGTGTTTATGCTTCTTTTTAAAATTATATTAAATAAACATAACTATATATAAAATTACATCTAAACGTATGTACGTTTTGTTTCAAAGACAATAGCAAACTGACATTGAATCAACGTGGAAACATGACATCGAAACAACGTTGATCTGACATTGTTTTGCTCATCGAATTAACGTTGAACCAACGTCAGACGCGTCATTCTTTCAAAACTAACGGAAAATCAACTTGAAATCAACGTTATGAAAGCAAACCAATTTTCGATTTTCATTTAGCTTTGAAGAATGCCGCGTCTGACGTTGGTTCAACGTTAATTCAATGAGCAAAATCAACGTTGTTTCGATGTCATGAGAGACGTCGTTTCCATGTTGATTCAATGTCAGTTTGCTGTCTGGGGAAGACAGTAAATTTTGAAGACTCTGCCATAATTTTCCTCCGCTTTAATCTCCACAACCGGAAATGGACGAGCATCCTTGCGTCAAATGCGGAACTTATGCGTGCATATAGCCCATTAGTTCAGAAATGGTCGGGCCAATCAAATTGCCAGGGCGGCTTTATACAATGATGGACAGATGATATGCAGTTACGTAATCATCACGTCATCAAAGAGCGCTTAGGTTGAACTGGTTTCCCTCAAAGATGGCCGCCGCTGGAGAACTGAGATGTATAGATTCTGCTATCGCGTCTGTTGTAAAAGAAATTCGACAGCGCATTCATTTTAAAAGACGAACAGAGAACTGCAATCAAGGCATTTGCCGATTGGAAAGATGTGTTTGCCGTCCTTCCAACGGGATTCGGCAAAAGTTTAATTTATCAGCCGACTCCGATGGTCGCTAAGAAGACGGGACGCGACGAAAACCCTGCGGTCGTTGTGGTTTCTCCATGGAGGACCAAGTAAAAGAAGCAACACTCATTATTTTACCACTTCTTACAGCATGTGTGTAGTTGAGTTCTGTTGACAACTATGCGTAGCTCAACATACGTCACTTACTGCCTTGCTCTGATTGGTTGTAGGTTTATCCAATTGGGATTGCACAGTCGCGGAAAGCTCAACCCGAAAGCGAGCAAACCAAACTCCCGGATTTTGAAAACCAAATGTGACCACTATGGCGTAAGTGTGTATGTATGTATGTGTGTGTACCTGATTATGGAGCTGTAGCGCCTCCTCCTGGCTTTTGTGTGTTTTTTCCTGCTCCTGTTCGAAAAGTTCTCTGAGTTCTCGCAGCTCCTCGCTCAATTTACGAACCTGCTCTTCTAGAACCTCCTCGTCACTGCGCCGTGAACCCTAAACATATGCAAACACGTTGAATAATGTGAATTTGACTAGAGACAACTTTCCGATTTGGATGTGATGATTGTTACCGTAGATTCATTGCCGTCCAGCAGGTTTTGTGTGAGTCTGCGCAGCTCCAGAAGATTAGCGGGCAAACCACCCACGGGGACGTCTTTTGCCGACAACGTCTCCGAGGACTCATCCATGGAGGAGTCTGTGGATAAGGCGGAGTCTGTGATGTCACTTCCTCTGAGCTGTGAGCAGATGGACCGCACCTGACAGTAAGCCTCCCACAGCTGCAGCCGGAGCTAAAGGGACGGAAAGAGTGTTTGTGATTGCACTTTTTAAAGATCATTTTATAGGAATTTGTTCATGCAAAAAGCTGAGCACATTTAAGAGCTGAGCACATCTAGAAAAATGCATATTCGCTATAAACTACAACATGCATTCCATGAATTTTTTAAAATGTTATCAGTTCGATTACAGTACTCCTCCAGGACTGTCAATTTAAAAGTCCCTGATATATCCTGGTTTTCCAGGAGTGTTGAATCCATGAGTCTTCAGTGAACGGAGACCAATCCTGTTCATTCTGCAAGGTATTTATATTGTTTGTTTTTCATTTTAAAAGAGCAGTTCACTTTTAAAAAAAACTTTTGCTGATAATTTACTCACCCCCATGTCATCCAAAATGTCCATGTCTTTCTTTCTTCAGTCGAAAAGAAATTAAGGTTTTTGATGAAAACGTTCCAGCATTTTTCTCCATATAATGGACTTCAATGGGAACCAAACAGTTCAAAGTTTCAGTGCAGCTTCAAAGGGCTTTAAACGACACCAGACGATGAATAAGGGTCTTATCAAGCGAAACGATCGCTCATTTCAAATATAGATAAAAAAGTTTAAGTTGTATAAGCACAAATGCTCGCCTTGCTCTGTTCTGTGACGTTCGTGACTCTCCTGTTCGAACTCGTTCATCAAAATGAACAAATCTTTTTTCTAATCATTTCGTTCGTTGAATGAACCAAATGACTCGAAAAAACATTTGTTCATTTTGATGATATCCATTATATGGAGAAAATCCTGGAATGTTTTCATCAAAAACCTTAATTTCTTTTCAACTGAAGAAAGAAAGACATGGACATCTTGGATGACATGGGGGTGAGTAAATTATCAGCAAAAGTTTTTTTTTAAAGTGAACTACTCCTTTAATACTTTTTAATACATTTATTTTTTTGACTTGGGCCATTTGTTTGCCAATGATATATACTGTATATGGTCGAAGGGCACAAATTATGGCATTTGTTTTGGAGCCTGGCTAACGTCAGACCTCCTCTCATTAACACTGAGATGTGGTTAGGCAACTTCTCGTATTGCTGCTCTGTGATTGGTCCCCTAGATGAGGCGAAAATTTGGTCCATGCTATCCAGACTGCGATAAAATCGCACAGTATGGGGAAACCCAGGCTACTTATTCTGTAGAATTAGCCCAAATATTGCGCAAGTAAAGCGTGTGTGTCCGCTGTACCTGCTCTCTCTCCTGCTCCAGCTCCTCCTGCTCCATGCTCTGCTCGATCTCACAGAGAAGACTGTGTGGGTTGGGACTGAAGCCCTGGAGACTGTGTTCCTCCGTCAGCTCCTCCACGCGAGCGCTCAGGTTCCTGTGGGACACGCGCACCTCCTGCAGCTCCAGCTGGCTCTGCCGCAGCTGTACCAACACACACACACACACACACCTGAGGGAGTATACCGGCCGGGGCTAAACACAGGCTGGTGGCCGAGGGGTGTTTACTTTAGTTAACTCGGAACAAGCTTTCTTTATACATCATCTGTTATCATGTAAATACGCGTATTTGTCACTTATGATTCATTCATTCCACTACCGGACGTGTCTGATAATAGAATTAAATCAGTGTTTTTAATGTAGTGATTCATCTCTCAATATTATGCTCTATTTTAGACCAATGATATGACCGAACATTACTTTAAGCACTAAAAAAGCACTATTAATTTATTTAGAGGTAAATCTTTTTTTTTTTTTTTTTTTGAAGCGATTAATGACTTTTTAAGAACAGAGCGCTCAGTAAATCAGAGAACTGGAGGCCGTCCAGCATTATAATACACTGACTCAAACTATCAAACACGCAAAACAATGAACTACTAAATCTATAATAGCACTGAATTAAATGGAACAAGAAAAATAATGACAATTTTTTTTTCTGTCTTTGCGCCATATGTCAGTTTGGTTTGAGTTTTCAATGATTTCCTTTCATTCAAATTTCATTTCAATATAATGCATGAATGGACAAAACTGTGCCAGTCCAAATTAACTGCACGATTTAAAGAGAAAATTAAAAGCTGCAAGACAAGTAAAGGCTGTTTTAGGCCAATTAAGGATTTTTGCATTATTGCATTACTTTTAATAAATAAGACCCACTGCAATCTTTTCTCTTTTTTTAGAAGCATATTACATTTCAAATATATGTTGTAAACAGTGTGGCTTCATGAAATATATTTTTTATATTTAAATTATATTTCACTTAAACCTTCAAATATCAAAATATACTCCAAAATGGCCTTTAAGGGGCAAGAAAATACATTTCTAAATATTGTGTGTAAATTCAGTTTATTTTTATATATATAATATATATATATATATATATATTTTTATATTTATATATAAAATGGCTCAAAAATATATAAGATATCTGTAAATATATTTCAAAATATTTTTTTAATGCATCTGTTTTTTTCCTCCAATAAAAATATATTAACAACGCAAGGTACATTTGAAGAAACTAAATATTATAAGAGTTGTTTTCAGAGCAAATTATGTATATTTATATTATAAAAAAATATGTTTTACTTTTATAATATTTTTATAATTTTTATTTATTTTTATATTAAATATATACATATATATTTATATATAATATTTGTATAATGTTATTTATTTATTTATATATAAATAAATAAATAAATAAAAATTATAAAAATATTATAAAAGTAAAACATTATTTGTTATGATACTGGCAAAATAATAAGTCATAAATCCCATATATTTAAAAATATTCAAACATGAAAAGAATAGGGGTAAAATATATATATGAATATTTTTATATATATGGGATTTATGACTTATTTTGTCAGTCCAATCATATACAGTTTTGCTTGTCATGTTGTTTAGTGAAAAACCCTGATGAAGAAGATGTTTGTTTGGCGTGTGACAGCCGCTCACCTGCAAGTCCTTCTCGTGACACTGTTTCTCCAGCACCAGCGTTCGCTCTCTCAGCTCGTCCACCGTGTTCTGCATCTGCTCGTTCTCCTCCAGCATGGCGGTCACACGTCTCTCCAGTTCCTGCTTACGCTCCGACAACATCTGAATCTGCCCAACGAGAGCGGGAAACATCATCATCAATGATCATCAGGATTCATCTGAGGTATTCAGACCAAAACATTGGCAAACTTTAAACAATGCTTGTCTTAAAGAGTGAAGATTACAGTATATCTGAGGCTTGATCAGGTTTTCAAGAAAAACTCGAGTGTGTTTATTGGGTTATGTTGGACTCGGGTGTTGTTGGAATGCCGTGTTGCCAGGCTTCATCAGAAGGGAGTCACGAACACCTCCATAGTCAGGAATGTGCGCTTGATAACGGGAATATTTCTGTTCAAAACACCCCATGAAAATGTTGTGTTTCAAGTATCATTATCGTCTCACTGGTTTCTCCTACACTGGTGCAGAAACAATTTTTCACACAAGTAACACATTCATTAATTGAATTTGAAATGTATTGACATTGAAAAAAAGGACACACACAAAAAAAAAACAAATACTATCTCTGCAAAAATGCTTTTCTTACTTAGTATTTTTGTCTTTTCTCCAGTATTTAGTATTGCTAAATAGGGTTTAATTTTTTTTATTTTTACTTTTAGTTAGTTTTCGTTTTAATGTATTTCCACTAAATAATTAAATTTTTAGTTATTATTATTATTATTATTATTTAGTATTGCTAAATAGGGTTTAATTTTTTTTTTACTTTTATTTAGTTTTCGTTTTAATGTATTTCCACTAAATAATTAAATTTTTAGTTATTATTATTATTATTATTATTATTTAGTATTGCTAAATAGGGTTTAATTTTTTTTATTTTACTTTTAGTTAGTTTTCGTTTTAATGTATTTCCACTAAATAATTCAACACTATCTCACGACCAATTCGTACGAATTCGACGCATGATTAAAAAGTGGCTAATTCGTACGACCTCACTCGTACTAATTCGTACGATTTGTCTAAACCCACGTGATGGTTAGGTTTAGGGGCGGGGTAAGGGGTAGGTCATTCGTACGAATTCATACGAATTGGCCAATTCGTAAAATATGTACGATTTAGCAAAATCGTATTAATTCGTACGAGTGAGGTCGTATGAATTGTTACGAATTAGCCACTTTTTAATCATTCGTCGAATTCGTACGACTTGGTCGTGAGATCGGGTTGAAATAATTCACATTTTTAGTTTTCAAATAATATTTATATGTATTTATTTCAATTAACAGAAATTATTACATGAAGAGTTCAGATGCAAAAGCCTCTAAGTGTCATTTGAAATTTTGTTCAGTAATTTCACTTAAATGACAATTAATAGGTAATCTTCATTGCCACTTAAGTGAAATTACTGAACTTTAATATAAAAGCTTGATAAAAATGATCATTTTAGAAGAAAATTTCAAATGGCACTTAGAGGCTTTTGCATGTGAACTCTTCAAATAGTTTCAGCCAACAATAATAACCCTGATATGAATCTAATGAGAATCATCATTCAGAATTTGAAGAGGAGATTGTGTTTAATTGTCTTGAAAATAATGTCAGACTTAATCTGACTGGTCCTAAAATAGGTTTCATTTACTTTAGGCTACATATAATGTCTTGTTGGTTTGTTTTATGTTGAAATCTGACCAAGACAAGGTAGGTCCCTAGAAAAGTACCTCAAAAAAGAGTGTGTGTGTGTGTGTGTGTGTGCAGCGCTTGAAAAGAACATGAGCAGAAGTTTTGGTGTCTCTCCCTCATGTAATGACCTCGATCTGCTAACCTATTTCAGCAGCAGCAGCACTGAGGGATTCTGGGTGATTCACTGTACGCCACACCTGGACTTTTAATGCATACTTCTGCTGCTTATCTTCAAACTAATTTGAAATCAGCCGAACGAGACAGTGACACTGGTGTATTTATGTGCTGGTCGGCCCAGAAGCGTCGTGGATGGGAACAGACACCCATTTCTCACTGTCTGGCACTGGCGGTATTTTCGGGAACACCCAGACTTAAAATAGAACAGAAGTCTTCCTCTCTCGAGTACACACACTTCACATGGGAGAATTGCTACTAAAGAGCCTTTAGCTTTAGTGAACTGAACAGGTGATCCATGCTTTCATGTTGTTTACACCCAATTATGACCCGACCATCTGAATCCAGACTCATCCAAATATTTCCCAATCTTCTATTGTCCAGTTTCAGTGAGTCTCAGCTTACATGTGTTTCTTCTGCTGCTGTTCAGAGATGCTCTTCTGAAGAACTGAAGCTTACTGGATATTTCCTTTTTTCTGATCATTCTCTGTGTTTGAAAATCCCAGTAGATTCTATAGTATCCAGCTGCAGACCAGTTTCAGAACCCCAGTTTCAGAACCCCAGCGCCAGAATTGGAAGTAAGGGGCGGAGTTAGCTTCTAACCAACACCAGCGCCAGGAACGTAAGTGAGGCGCGGAGCTTAGATTTGAAACCTAACGTAATTTGGAGGGTATTTTACACATGAAACAGCTTTTATTGAACAAGAAACGTCCTACTCTCTACGTATGTTATGATGCTATACATTACCATACAATAAGCATTTTAAAACATTGATTTTGTGTAAAATAATTGTATATAGTTTCAGTTATTCGTTTCATTGTATTATGAGTTACTTCCTGATCATGATGGTGAAAAAATAATACTTGAAACTTATGGGCATTTTAATGTAAAACAGTTTAATAATTTTAACTAAGCAGTTTATACATACGTGTAAAGGAAGATAAGACCTTTGTTTTTTTGGTTTTTACGAAGGAGTTAACTTTGTATAATAAAACTTTGAAAGATATAAAACAAGACTCAAAATTATACACAATCTGATAACTCATTAGACCTCTGTGATATTTTATGTTCTACTTATTTATTTATGTATTTATTTATTTTGTTTACAAAAATCTTAAATTGTTTTGATATTGAAGATATCTTTGATATATAAGTATTTGTAAGATGATTTTGATTGTTTAATAAAAAAACAAAAAAAAAAAAAACGCATGGGTATTTTTTTTATAAAATATACTTTATTTCACAAGAACATGTGCAGCATGCATTTTTCGTGTAAAATAATGTCAAAATCTAAAAAAGAGAGAAAATTCGGCATTGTTTTGTTAAAAATCTATACAAAATGACCAATTCAACCCAAGATAGGCCTGTTTTATCACGACAATTTTGTTTAAATTTAACTTATAATGTATCAAATGAGGAACTCAAGGCCCGTCTTGTCCTTACATGCTTGCTAAAATAATTATAATGCAATAATAATAATTCCGTCCTCCCTCGCTTCCGGTTCTGGCGCTGGGGATCTGAAACTGGTGGTGCTGCGGGTCTGCAGCTGGATATATCTCTCTGAAAACTGAGACCAGCTCATCTGACTCGGAACAACTCACTTAAATCACCTGATGCTCAGTTTGAACTTCAGCAGATCGTCTTGATCATGTTTACATCTACATTGAGTTGCTGCAATGTGATTGGCTGATTCGATGTTAACGAGCAGTTGAACAGGTGACCTAATAAAGTGGCCTTGTTCTTGTTCATTCACTAATTCATCTCTGCTTCTTTATACTGTAGGTCGTCTCTAGTGATCAGAGAGAGAGTTACACTGATCCTGTAAATCAGCTCTGGTGTGACGGACAGCACATCCCTGTATCGACCACTAATCTGTGAGTAACACTTCATCTCAGTACTGTGTGTAAATCTGGTGGAACCATAAATCAGTGATGAATCAGATGCTATTATTATGGTACTTTGATATACAGTGGGGTCCAAATTTCTGTGACATTGCAATTTTTAGCACTTTTTTTCTACCTTTTTTTTTACTTCAAAGTTTGTCGTTTCTTTGTAATTATTTGTGAAATGTATTAGCAATTTCTAAGTGAAAATTGTTTCAAAGTAAATCCTATAGCAATTTTTTAAACCCTTATATCTGATCAAAATACAATTGGAAGAGACAACATGGTTTACACATGCATACAAAACCAGACATGCATTAGATGTGGATGTACCGGTATGTATTGAAGAGTGTTTTAAGTGACATCACCAACCCTATCATTTAAATAAACCCCGCCCCCGGGTCCGGGAACGCGATATATATATTATCAAGACAGAATATGCTAATTAATGACTAGAAGATAACTACACATCAGCTACAAATTCATTCAGAAATGTCCTGTTGTCACTTCATGGGTCTCTCTATCACTGACTCTGTTGACATCATCTGATTGCGGTTTGGCAAAGGTTTTGAAATTTTCAGTGCTTGTGTGTGTGAGGTAAAAGGACACAAGCTGTTGTAGCTCCACCGGCAGCAGCAGCTCATTTGCATTTAAAGGAACAGACACAAAAACGCTGCGTTTTTGCTCACCCTAAAAAAGTGACAACTTTAACATGCTATATAAAAATATCCGTGGGGTGTTTTGAGCTAAAACTTCACACACACTCTGGAGACATATTTTACGTATTGTGAAAGGGCATTATACCACCCCTTTAATGATGCCGATCTCAATCTGTAATTATTGATTACATAATAAGGTACTACCTCAGTCAAAATTTGACATTACTGATTAGTTAACCCTCTGATGGTCCTCGGTCACCTCTGACCGAATAATTTTCTGTTTTGAATTATTAAAAATCACAGCTTCATCGGAAGGTTATGATACTTGGTGACTCTTTTGGCATTTGGTTTGTGAATACAAAAAAAAAACATTGAGGTCATGATCCGAGTATGCTAAGTGGTCATAAAAAAAATAGTCATATTCGTGGTCTTCGGTCAGAAATAACCCCCATAGGAAATGAATGGGAAATTTACAAAAAAACAATCTACAAATCGGCCACGATTCTTAAAAGAAGTATACCGCAGTAAAGGGGTGACACTCTACAACATCAAAAGTGCAAAACAGACAAACACACACACACGCATACAAACACACTTTTATATACTGTACATACACACCAATAAATTCAGACTACAAAAAATCTGTTTTGAATTTCTAAAAATCACAGCTTCATCAGAATGTTACGAAACCTGGTGACATTTCTGGCATTAGGTATGTGAACACATAAAAAAATTGAGTTTGTGATCCGAGCATGCTAAGTGGTCGTAAAAAAATTAGTCACGATTTTGGTCTTTGGTCAAAAATGACCCCCATAGGAAATGAATGGGAAATGCACAAAAATTCACAATTTACAAAAGTAAAAATTTTACAGTTTTTTTTTTTTTTAAATAAGGAATAGTTTTTGAGATTGTTTCAATTGTATATTCAAATCCACCCAAAAAAAAAAAAAAGTGTTCATAAACAGCTGGGGAATTCACATGCTTCTCCATAGAGAGCTGTACATGCCATAGTGGTTACACCATGATTCTACGCTTTTTCTCTATACTATAACCAGACGGTGCTAATTTTCTTCAAAAAATGTTTTTTTTTTTGAAGGCCTAGATTCTATATTAAACTAAAATACTGCATTAATAATTAAAAAAAAAAAAAAAATATATATATATATATATATATATATATATAAATTTCCATTGAAAAAATAGACCATAAATATTGCATAAATATTAATAAATTCAATCAAATTGTCTCAAAATACTAAATTAAAAAGAATAAATATTATAGAACAAAAATAAATTGCATTGGTTTTACTGGGATGTAAGAAGTTTCATTTTTAGGCCTCCGGCGGTAACTTCTGAACCTGGAAGGCCCAGGACGTGACTCACAAAGGAAGACCATCAGAGGGTTAAGCTTGTTTCCATATTAGTTATTAGTAGTAGCTGAAGTGTTAATATAGCACTACTCATTAGTCCTGCATTACTTCCTGCATAGTAACATATTCATATTAATGATTGCCCATTATGCTCTGCTGACTATAGTTGGCTACTGATGCTTTTGGGAAACACATTGATGAATATTTCCACTGAGCTTGTCTCAATGCATTTTGGGATCACACAAATTGTAAATTGCTCTCTCATTAGGGAGATCGCGATAATAACTAATCTACAGATCCGCATTTTTCGGCTCAAAACAGTTTCCTCAGTTCAGAGTTGAAGAAAGCTTGATTTGAGATAGTTGTTCTGAACAGACCAGAATCCATTGATGACGGCCCGTGAAACTCGAGCTGGCATTGTTTGTCCTGCGCTGTCACATCAGAGACTCCAGGAGCCAATTACATGGCCATCTTTCATTGACGAGTTAGCGAGAAGACTGACATAACAAAGCAATCAGGATATGATCCAGCAGCGTTTTGCATCACATCACAGAACACACACATGCAGAAAGGAGGAAGCGGTTTGTGAGCACTTACTTCAAGCCTTTGCTGTTTAGTGGATGATACAAATAATCATTTGAGGAAGGAAAACAGAGGAAAGCAGATTTTGAAATATATCATGGTGTCATGACTCTGTAAATAAATAAGATCCGCATCCCATAATGCCTCACCTCGGCCTGTAGGGTCTCGAGGCGCGTCATGTGCTGGTTGGTGGAGATGCTTTTCTCTTTGAAATCATCCCGTAAAGAATGAACCTGAGTAGACAACTGTTTCTCCACCTCGGCGGCCTGTGGACACAAACACAGAAAATTGTTTTAGCGTCTCAAAGATGTAGTCTATATAGGCTGCTTGTACTGTATGTGAAGTATGAGTATATAAATTGCCTGTATGAACGAATTACCAGGACATTTGCCAAAACCACTGGATGAATTTGGAATGGCACTTTCTATTAAACCTCGCAGCCAGTGTGTGAGATACTGTATCCCACAATGCAATGCACTTGACTCTTTATTTCCTGGGTCATTTTTTATTAGGCACTGGGATGATTAATTTTGTTGAATTAACAATTATTATTATTGCTTTACAAGGTACTTGAATTTACTACGAGCCACTGGATTTAACAATTAGTTTATTTCATTTATATTTTGATATTTTATAGGGCTGTCAAATGATTAATCACGGTTAATCGCATCCAAAATAAAAGTTTGTGTTTACATAATATATGTGGGTGCACTGTGTATAATTATTTTATATATATAAATACACACACATGCTTGTATATTTAAGAAATATTTTCATGTATATACTGTATATAGATTTATATATAATTTATATTATATATAAATATTTTATGTATAAATAATATTTTTTTCTTAAATATACATGCATGTGTGTGTATTTATATATATATATATATATATATACAAAATAATTATACACAATGCACCCATATATATTATGTAAGCACAAACTTTTATTTTGGATGCGATTAATCACGATTAATCGTTTGACAGCCCTAATATTTTAACAAGTCCCCGGCTGCATAATACATTTTTAGCAATTAATTTAAACTACTTAATTTATTATTATTATTTTTACAAACCTTACAAGGCACTGGGCTGATATGACTGACTTTGAGCCACTGTTTTTAACAATTTGTTTATTTTATTATAATGTTGTTGTTGTTGTTGTTGTTTTACAAAATCCGGTTTACAAGATATCCTGAGACTGTGGGTGTTTTTGAGCCAGTGGATTAGCTAAAGTTTGCCAGATTAATGGCATTCGGAAATTACTAGCATGTTAAATAGATATGGATATAGACCAGATGAGCCTGTTATAGGAATTAAGACAGAATTAACACCTTCTTGCTATCTTCATAATGTTAGCACATGCTTTCTCAACAGTAAGCCTGCAAACGTTATATTTTTTCATACAGAATAATTGTATTAAAAGAAAAACAAAGCCTGTTGCTGGCCTAATAATCTATGAGCATGAGTCATATTACTGAGAAACCCTACCTACACACACACACACGCCCCCAGACTCACACCCACACACACTCATTGATCACACTTGGCAGTTTGTAGCATCTGTAGCAGAGATGCCTGTGTGTGGATTGGACGTCTGCGATCAGGCCACTGCAGCTGCGAAACACTCATTAGTCGCTAAACTGACTCGCATCATCTGTGACCGTCACCACGGCAACCACGAGTCTCCGACTCAAACTAGCGCACGACATCAACGTCGTCGTTCTCAGCCTCTGTTCGCTGATTGGACCGGTAAAAAATTATGAGATTGATTGATTTTTAATGAGAATGAAAGCGAGGCTGTGAAGGATAGACTTGCATCTCTTCAATGGGCTGTACTGTTATTTAATGTGTTTTCGGATTTTTCTGCTCATGAAACACTGGAAAAATATCTTTCCAAGAAATGTCAGTACTGTTGACAAAAAACTCCCGACAACGTAAGTTGTGGAAAATTGTAAGTAATCTGGAGCTTTATTCAGCTTTTTACAGCGGATGCCAATTGTAAACATAACGTAAGTCTATCCCTCACAGCCTCACTTTCATACCTGTCATGGCGCTGCTCTGAATAAGGTCTATAGCGGCAATATGAGACGCAGATATATATGGGCCAGAAGGCGCCTCCTAGTGGTCTAGCCCTAACACTACCCATAACTGAAGTGTGTTATATTGACGCTAAAGTGAGAGAAAATGTTATGTTAAAATTAACTAGAAAATGCACAGTTGAAATTGGGTTCAAATTTGAAATGACATTTTTAACCCAACGTTTGGGTTTGTCCATATTTGACCCAAATTTGGGTTGAAACAACCCAGCACCGTTTAGAGTGTAGTGTTAAAGGGTTAGTTCACCCAAAAATGAAAATTCTGTCAGTATTTACTCACCCTCATGTTGTTCCAACCCCGTAAGACCTTCGTTCGTCTTCGCAACACAAATTAAGATATTTAAGATATTAAGATCGCTCCTGTATACTAGTCCATAGGCTTCTTGAGGGAATGACTCTTGCTGGCATCGAAAAGTCATTAAAGACATCGTTAAAATAGTCCAAGTGACTACAGGGGCTCAATCTTAAGTTTATCAAACGACGAGAGCACTTTTTGTGCGCAAAAACAAACAAAAAATAACGACTTTATTTCAACTATTAGTTTATTTCTCCCTCTGCCTTGAGTCAGGTTACTAGTTTAATAGCGTAAGCTTCTGTTATTGTACGTCACACGCATCACACACACATGACCAGCGTCGGCCAATAGTGAGCTTACGTGTGACTCTACGCAATCACACTACGTTAACTGACTACAGGCCCATAGAGAAGGAAGTGAATAGTTGAAATAAAGTCGTTATTTTTGTTTGTTTTTGCGCACAAAAAGTGTTCTCGTCGTTTGATAAAGTTGAAATTGAGCCACTGTAGTCACTTGGACTATTTTAACGATGTCTTTAATGACTTTTCGAGGCTAGCAAGTCATTCCCTCTAGAAGCCTATGGACTAGTATACAGGAGCGATCTTAATATCTTAAATATCTTAATTTGTGTTGCGAAGAAGAACGAAGGTCTTACGGGGTTGGAACAACATGAGGGTGAGTAAACACTGACAGAATTTTCATTTTTTGGTGAACTAACCCTTTAAGGATTCTGACAAGTGACAAGTACCACTCAAAGTAACATTTCTGCACTTTTTTCTGACAGTGTGCATCAGAATATGTCAAGGTTGTAGGATCTTAACTTTATTCATTCACTGTTTGTTTTCTCCTGATACAAGAGTTTTACTAAAATAATACTCAGCAGTTTTGAGAACAGAGAGGAATCTGTTTCAGAAAAGGTCACCCTTGCCTTTCTGTTGGCACAGATAAAGACCCGAGACTGATAAAGAAATGTTTTAAGGAGCAAGTTTCCACACTTCTAGAGTGACACATTGGCTTTGACTCATTTCTGATTGCTAAACTTCTTGTTAGTTTGATATTGTTTAAGGTGTAAGCCAAAAAACGTCATCAAGAATATTTAATTGCTCGGCTGATTCATGAAACGAAAAGCAGGGAGGGAATTTGAGGGAGTTCAAGTAAGGTTATTTTAGTATTATTTACTCATATTTTGAATTAGGCTATGCTTTTATATTTTCAGTTTTCATTTTAGTTAAATTTTTATTATTATTATTTTTAATATTATTATTTAGGATTATTTTTTTTTTAGGGGTGTAACGATACCCTCATGTCATGATTCGATACATATCACGAAACTGAACTCACGATACAATATTATTGCGATACTCCAAGACATATGGTAAAAGGTTAACAAAAAAATTACTGTTGATTTAAAAATGGTAACTTTGATATTACACTGTGGGTTTAAATGAATAGGTTTGGACTTGGTGCTTGTAACCCAAGGACAATAGCGACACCAGAATAACAATATTCATGATTCTGAAGCTGAAAATAATTTTAGACGAATATGCTTGCACCCTTTCTGACTAGATACAGTATATGTAACTTAGATATATTTAAAATAATTTTGGACCCTTTTTTTACTGATCAAGTTGCATAAGTCATTTGGCATTATCAGGACCCACAAATATTCCCCCATTGCATTATTATACAGTATAATCAAAATTATATATAGTAGTTTAATGTAGTACTGACACTAAAACCTTTGTGAGAATTTTTTCACGTACAGTAACTTTTATTTTGGTGGAACTATCCACGATACATATTGGTGCATTTTTGTATTGCGATATATTGCGGCACGATATATTGTTACACCTAATTTTTTTGTTATTAGTTCAGTTCCAGTTAGTTATTTTAACTTATTTCAGTTAGTTGCCAAAGCAACATTTCTAATTTATGTTTAGTGTAGATTTCATATTTTTTCAGCTTTATTTCAATTAAAAGAAATGCTTTTAATAGTTTTAGTTTTAGTTAATAACACTGGTTGAAAGGCACAATCCGAGATCCAAAAAAATGACTGGCGTCTTTTGAGAAGAGATTATAGTTTGCTTTATAGTCTTGACCAAAATAAACATCTGCAAACAGGAAGAACAGTCGTATGTGTCTTCCTGTTTATGTTAGTGATTAGATATTTTCGAGCTTGCATTAAAGTGAGAGAAAACTTAACTACGTTCTCGGTTATTTTTTATAAAATATTTTCCTTAAAAACAGAGATAAATGAGGCATAATTATTACATTAAATAATGTGGAGTGGCTCAGATCATTCAGTCTTGAAGAAGCTGATGAGAAATATTTGGATTAACATTGAAATCTCAGACTTTTTGATTGTAGACTTTTTGAGAAGTCTTTTCCCTAAAATCTGAGAAGCGGAGATTTAATTTAGCGTCTTTTTTTTTTTCACAGGATCTAACATCATTCTTCATAACGGCATTTAAAACTGAACTGTAATTACATTTGCATCACCTTCACGAATGATAATCAAAGAGCGATTAGTCATGTTGGTGTCTGTCCATTCAGCGGTGTAATCTCAGTGTGAATCGTGTCTGATGTTGCAGGTCGACATGACCCACAGCAGACGCGCGTCTCACACACTCACTCGTGTGTATTGAGCCGCAGACGCGTCACATGCCGTGAGGTTGCTTGTTCTTTCATTTGTGCCTCATTTACATAACAAAGAGCAATGCTTAAGGAAACTCATTTTTACACTCATTTAGAGTGTCTTATTGGTTGAATCCGATATTGGGGTGGGGGTTCACGTTCCTATGGTAACACATGGATTTGAACATGACACTTGAGGTTGCCATAGCGATTTGTGGGAATAGTGATCGGAG